TAGTATAAAGGCATTTATACTAATAGGTATACAATCCAATTCTCTCATAGTGGGGACAGACAAGCAGCTTTATTCTACAGAAGCAACTAAACCGTGTGTGTGTGTGTGTGTGTGTGTGTGTGTGTGTGTGTGTGTGTATCTCCTACCTATTTCTTTAGAGGAATTGTTTTTCAAGGGAGGTGATTTTTCTCCTCTCTGCAATTGATATTTAGCAATATTTGTGGACATTTTTGGTTGTCATCACTAGAGGAGTAGGATTGCAACTGGTTTCTTAGAGGTAGAGACCAGGGTTACTGCTAAATATCCTATAATAAATGCATAGCATAGCTCTCCACAACAAAATTATCCAGCCCAAATATCTAGGTTGAGGAACCATGTTTCAAAAAATCTAAATTAGGGCTGGGGATGTGGTTCAAGCGGTAGCGCTCTCGCCTGGCATGCATGCGGCCCGGGTTCGATCCTCAGAACCACATACAAAGATGTTGTGTCCGCCAAAAACTAAAAAATAAATATTAAAATTCTCTCTCTCTCTAAAAAAAAAAATCTAAATTATAGATATAAAATAGAAATACAGTTATGACCTATAGGTATGATTTAATGCATCCTATGTAGAAATCCTAACCTTCAGTGTGATAATATTAGGAGGTAGGGCCTTTGAGAGGTAATTTGGTTATAAGGATAAAGCCCTCTCTTGGCTTGCTCTCTGCCATTTGAGGAAGATGGCAGCGCGTTACACATAAGGTACTAGGTCTCTGCTGGGACCTTGATCTTGGACATCCCAGTTCCCAGAACTGTGAGAAATAAATTTCTGTTGGTTAAGCCCTAAAGTATATGTAATTTTGTGGCAACAGCACAAACGTAGATATGCAACCACAGGGAAAATAACTGGAATGTAAGTCAATAGGAAAGTATTTTCTAAGGAAATTATACTTTCTTTCTCAACTGCTTTCATCTCACAATAAGAGTTTTTAATATCTTAAAGCATTATCTAGAGGAATGGGATAATAGTGAAAAATAATACAAGGTCATAATTAACCAATGTATGAAATATGAATCTTTTGGCTTATTACCTCCACAGTACTTAGTACCATGGGTTTTTTGCTTTTTTTTTTTTTTTTTTAAGAAAATAAGAGCCAAGTGTGGAGGTGCACAGCTGTAAACCCAGCAACTCAGGAGGCTGATGCAAATTCAAGGCCTGCCTGAACAATCTATCTCAAAATAAAATTAAAAGGATTGGGAATAGATAGCACAGTGGCAGAGCCCCTACCCAAGGATTCAAACCCCAGTACCACAAAATTATAAATAAATAAATAAGTATAAATAGAACATAAAAAGGAAACAGTTATCATTTATAGGACTCCAATATTTTAATTACCTTTCTATTTTGAGAAGTAAAATCTCCACCAGTTGCCTCTGATTTCTTAGACTTTTTATTATATTTTTTCTTAGATTTTTTGGGAGTACTAATTCTGGTAAATTTCATTCTGAAAAAAAGATGAAGTATTTAGAAACTCTTTTCATGACTATAACGTGTAAAATTCTCAGTTAAATATAGAAATAAACCAAGTAACACTCCAATTTCTGGACTTAATTATAATAAGACAGAAGGAAAAAAAAAACAATTCTTAACAATTTGATTCAAAAGTAGTCAAACTTGCTGGGTATGGTGACACACACATGTAATCCAGTAACAGGGGAGGCTGAGACAGGAGGATTGCAAGTTCAAGATGAGTCTCAGTAACTTAGCAAGGACCTAAGCAACTTAGGAAGACCCTGTCTCAAAAAAATTAAAAGGGTTGAGGATATAGCTCAGTGGTAAAGCAGTCCTGGATTCAATCCCAGGTACCTAACAATCATAATCATAATAAAAACCATAATCATAATTTTTTTGGGGGAAGCCAAAATTTACTATTTGTTAATTCCTTTAGAAATAATAAGCCTTGGGGCTGGGGATGTGGCTCAAGTGGTAGGGTGCTCGCCTAGCATGCATGAGGCACTGGGTTCGATTCTCAGCACCACATAAAAACAAAATAAAGGTATTGTGTCCACCAAAAAAAAAAAAAAAAGATATTTAAAAAAAAAAAAAAAAGAAATAATAAGCCTAAGGCCAGGTATGGTGGTGCTCTCCCATATTTCTAGTGGCTCAGGAGGCTAAGGCAGGATGATCACAAGTTCAAAGCCAGCCTCAACAACTTAGCAAGGCCCTAGCAACTTATTGAGATCCTGTCTCAAAATAAAAAGGGCTGAGACTGTAGCTCAGTGGCAAAGCACTCTTGGGTACGAAAAAAAAAAAAATTATCCTCTAGGATCATTCTTAAATTTATCCAGAAGCAGCATGCAAGTATATACTTCTTCACAAATGTGTCCGTTTATTCAAGAAGTTAATACTCCATGATTTATTTTTAATCTCATTTGCTAAATGAACAGAAGACATATTTGAAGCATAGTTTTTCAGGGATTATCAACTATGACAATTAAGAGTTTAAAACTCATCTAAAATACATCTAGAACTTTTCTGAAATTATGACTGATTATAAATTACATGTGAGAAACAAAAAGCATTTTGAAATCCTTTTCGCCTTCTTACAAATCAGCTGTGTTCTAGAAAAAATAATGCTCTAATACAGGAAAGGAGAGGGAATGGGAAAGAAAGTAAAATGAATTAGATATAAATTTTCTATGTTCATATATGAATACACAATCAGTGTAACTCCACAGTCATGTACAACCACAAAAATGGGAAGTTATACTCCATATAAGCATGATATATCAAAATACATTCTACTGTCATGTATAACTAAAAAGAAATATATATATCTGTCCATATCTCCCTAAGGGATGACAGGTCAAAGGAAAAAAGAAAGAAAAAAGAATGCCCTCCAACATATGCAGTATTTTCATTCCCAAATAATGCATGCAGAATATTAGAACTTTGGAATAAAAACAAAACTTTACCTAATAGGGCTCTCTGAATCAGAGGGTACTGTTAGTAATTCTGCTGTGTATAGGCTATGCTTTTCTGATACACTGGCTGTTTTGGGAGTAGAAAACTTTACTGGACTATTGTCTTGTACATCTTCATAATCAGGACCTCTAATGGTAGTAGGTGTGCTGCTATTTCTTATAGATCGTCTGGATGATTTAGGTGTGGAAACATTTACCAATCTGTCTTCAGGTTCAGCTTTAGGATATATAATCTTTTCTTTAATTGATGTGCTGGTTTTTCTTGATGATTTATTCTTGTCACACAGAGAAGAAATCATTAGAGGGTCATCATTTGCTATACCTTCACAAACAAGATTTTCACTGTTAAGTAATGTAGTGCTTTTGAAATTTTCTGATTTCTTTTGTCTYAAACTCATTCTAAGTCTATTCTGATTTTGTTTACTTCTTAAGGAAAGAATTGTTTCTTTCTTTTGATTATTTTCTTTTTGGTTTTCACCTGTAGTAGCCCCAGTATCTAATGTTTCCTTATTCTTTTTCTTTAGCATTTTACTTTTCTCCATAGGAAAACTTCTTCTATCACTGTGTGACTGTGAACTACCATTTGAAACCATTTGAATATTAGGATTTTCCATGATTTTCTTAGAATTATTATCTTGTCCTTCTTCATTTAAATATTTTTCATTGAGGTCTTTCTGCTTATCTGAAGACTTTTTGACACCATTTTTAATTGCATCTGATGCTGGCTGCCTAAATGCTTTCATAAACTGCTGCCTTTCTTCTAGGGTACACTTTGGTTTCACAGCTTCAGAACTTCCAGCTTCCAACACAGCCAATTCTAATTCTTCCTCCTGTATAACAACATTAGATTTTCTTTTCTGAACTGTCTGTTCATTCTCAGGATCGGAAAGACTATTTTCCATCTCAAATTTCTTTTGTTTCAAGAAAATTGGGGGTATTTTCTTTGTCCTTTTTGGAGGAATGGGGTGAACTTGTGCAAGGACAGTAACTGTCTTAAAGCGCATCAGCTGAGATATCTCACAGTTTTCTGATTCACTTATATAACCACTTGGGCCTATTTCCTCAACAGTTTCAGAAGGTAAACAAATTGACATTGTTGAGTCTGGTATCTGTTCCACTTTATTTTCCTTGTGACTTTTTAAAAATTCTTCATATGAGACAGTTATCGTACAATCATTTAAATGGGCTGTTTCAGTAACATGATCACTAGAGTTTGCATCATTTGTAGTACTCTCAATTTCATTAGTTAGGGAAGATACTATCTCTTTGCTGTCTTTATCACTATTTTGAAGCAGATTTAGTTCTTCTGCCAAGGGTAAACTTTCAGATAGATCTATTACATCTCTGTATTTCCTTTTTCCTAACCTTTTACAATCACCTTTTGTCATCCTTTGTTTAGGATTCACTTTCTTAGAATTTTTCTTGAAAGTCATAGCATTTGACTGTCTTTCAACATCATGAATGCTTTCTACAAGAACCTCCACATGTTTATTGTAAAGTAAAACAGAAGCACTATTTTCCACAAAATCATTATTTAAACTACAGTCTTCTTTGCTATCATCACTATTAATTTCAATTGGAGATTCATTCTCAGTTTTTATATTATTTAGCTGTTGAGATAAATTAACCCTCTTTACTTTCTTCTTAAATACTGTATTTGAGAATGTGTCCAAAGGTTTTTTACAATCTTTGTTATTGTCAACAGGCAATGGTGCAGATGACTTTATCTTACACTCTTTCACTGAGTGTGTCTTCTCATTTGTGGGTGAAGTCTTTCTAAAATAATCCATAATATTACTAGATTTTGGTGGAGAGAAAACTCTGTCTCCAGTCTTCCCTATCGGTGATAAATATTTTGTAATTGTTTTACAGGAAGATCGGTCATCATCTTTTCGTCGCTTCTTGCATGGCTGGCAATTTAAAACAAGAAAAAAGTATTTATTTAAAGCAAAATAAAACAAAGTGTAACTTTTAAACATGTCTCTAACATTTTAAGAAACTGAAGCCAGGTGTGGTAGTACATGCCCTGTCACCCCAGCAAATGGGAAGGCTGAGGCAGTTGARTTGCAAGGTCAAGGTCAGGCTCAACAACTTAGTGAGGCCCTACGCAACACAGCAAGACACTGTCTCAAAATAAAAAACAAAAAGGACTGGAGATGTAGCTCAGTGATGCAGCACCCTGGGTTCAATCCCAAGTACCAAAAAAAAAAAAAAAAAGAAAAGAAAAGAAAAAGAAAGAAAGAAATTGGATTAATGGGTTTGGTAGCACAGGCCTATAATCCCAGCTAAACAGGATGATGAAACAGGAGGATTGCAAATTCAAGGCCAGCCTGGACAATTTTGCAAGACCCTGCTTTAACAATTAAAAACAAAAACAAAAACAAAGGCTGGACATGGTGGTACATGCCTGGAATCCCAGATACTCAGGAGACTTGAGATAGAAGGAGGCTAAAACAGAAGGATCACAAATTATAGGCCAATCTTAGAAACTTAGTGAGATCCCACCCCAAAATAAAACCAGGTACAGTGACATTTGCTTGTAATCCTAGCTATTCAAGACGCTGAGGCAGAGGGATTGTAAATTTGAGGGCAGCCTCCGCAACTGAGCAAGACATTGTCTCAAAGTAAAAAATAAAAAAGGATGGAGATGTAGCTCAGTGGTAAAGTGACCCTCAATTAATACCAGTAACACAAAAAACAATAATAATAAAATTAAATTTAAAAAGGGACCACACACCTGTAATCCCAACAACTCAAGAGACTTAGGCAGGAAGAATGCAAGTTCAAGACCAGCCTCAGCAACTTAGTGAGGCCCTAAGTAGCTTAGTGAGATCCTGCCTCAAAAATAAAAAATAAAATGGGCTAGGAATGTAGCTTAGTGGTAAAGTGCCTCTGGGTTCAACTGCTAGTCCCCTCCAACACCTCCCCAAAAAAGGATGGGAGTAGGGAAAGAGGTGTAATCCAGTAGTAGAACACCCGGGTTCAATTCCAAGTACTAAAAGATAAAGGAAAAATAAAATAAAATTGGACCAAAACTGAGTGTGGTGGCACATGGCTATAATCCTGGCTACTCAGGGGGCTGAGGAAGGAGGATCACAAATTAGAGGCCAATCTAGGCAATTTAGCAAGACCCTGTCTCAACACAAAAAGGGCTAGAGAGGTAGCTCAGTGGTATATAGCCCTGAGTTTAATCCTTAATACCATAAAAGTAAAGGAGAAATTGGATTGTGCATGGGGGGGCTCCTTTAGATGCAAAATATGATATATTAGAAAGAAACAAGCTTTATTCATTTATTTATTTATTTTTGGTAAATAAATGAACCCAGGGCATGCAATCACTGAGCCACATTCTCAACTCTTCATATTTTAATTAGAGATAGGATCTCTCCCTAAGAGGCTTAGGGCCTCACTAAATTGCTAAGTCTGGTTCCAAACTCACAATCTTCTTGCCTAGGCCTCCAAGCCACTGGGTTTACAGATATGTATCACTCTGCTTTAAAGTTAAAAATACATTCAAATCTCAGTGTCATGTCAATTTGCAGGCGCTCGCATACACACACACACACAAACACATCATACTTCAATAAAAAGTTTATATTGAAACAAAACCAAGGCTACTATACTTATGAAAAAATTATTGTTTCTTGGTCTCTGTTTATAACCTTTGATTACCAATAACCACCTTACAGAATTTGTAATAGGTATATAAAAATATGTGAAATTTGACACATGGTAGGGACCACACAGTTATCAATTGCATTCCCTTTTACTTTTTTAGTTAAAAATAAACACATGGGCTAGGGATGTAGCTTAGTGTAGAACACTTGCTTAGTACATGTAAGACTCTAGGTCTAATCCCTAGCACTGCAAAAAATAAAAATTAAATAAACACATTATCTTACTACTGCTAAGATGTAGATACTTAGCAAATAAGCCCAGAATCCCAAAATTTACTAAATCAAGTAGAAATTACATTGAAAGATCACCAAAAGAACACTTGCCACAATTCCAGTTTTTTTTTTTTTGTTTTTTGAGAGTGGGGGGGGGGGGGGGGGAGGGAGGAGAGAGAGAGAGAGAATTTTTAATATTCATTTTTTAGTTCTCGGCGGACACAACATCTTTGTTGGTATGTGGTGCTGAGGATCAAACCCGGGCCGCACGCATGCCAGGTGAGCGTGCTACCGCTTGAGCCACATCCCCAGCCCCAATTCCAGTTTTTTTTAATGTTAAATTTTTTAAGTTGTAGATGGACACAATACCTTTATTTTATTTATTTAAATATTTTTATGTGGTACTGAGGATCGAACCCAGTGGCAAGTGCTCTACCACTGAGTTACAACCCCAGCCCAATTCCAGTGTTTTGATACTAAAACAGTTACTGCCTACTTCCTGCACTAGCTATTACTCTCATGGTATCAAGGTGATTAAGCTAAGGATAGTCATATTTTTGTCAGTCATACATTAGTCATTTGTGGTCAGCAACAATGGACGCACCCAAGTAAGTTGAGCCAAGGTTATAATGAGCCCAGGTGTGGCTGAAGAAGATCCAGAGAGGCACTAGCTGTTGTGAGGAAAGCATAAAGCTCAAAATGAAAGTCATGAATCAGATGATACTATCAAGGAAATTTAATTTTTYGTGTGTAAACCCAGGATCCCACACATGTTAGGCCACTGAGCTACATCCCCAGCCCTTTTAAATTTTTATTTTAAGGCAGAGTCTTGTTAAATTACCCAGGCTGTCCTTGAACTTACTATCCTCTTGCCTCAGTCTCCTAAGTAGCTGGGATTACAAGTATGACCCCATGTGGTCCAGTAAATATTGATCCTTTCTGCTTCTGGAAGTTGATTAAATTTTCTGGTTATGATATTGAAAATTAAGGTTGGGCATGTGGTATCACATGCCTGTGATACTAGCTACTTCAAAAGCTGAGACAGGAGGATCACAAGTTTGAGGTTAGCCTGACAATTTAGTGAGACATTGTCTCAAAAAAGAAAAAGGAGTAGGGCTGGGTATAGTGGTGCCCACCTATAATCCCAGCGGCTCAGGAGACAGAAGGATAGAGAGTTTAAAGCCAGCCTCAGCAAATATGAGGAGCTAAGCAATTCAGTGAGGCTCTATCTCTAAATAAAATACAAATTAGGGCTGGGAATGTGGCTCAGTAGTCAAGTGCCCCTGAGTTTAATCCCCAGTACCAAAAAGAAACAAGAGGGTAGAGAGGTAGCTCAGTGGTAGAATGCCCCTGAATTTAATCCCCAGGACTGAAAAAATAAAAAATAAAAATAAAAAAGCAGGGGGCTGGGAATATAGTTCAGTGTAGAGTGCTTGCCTGCCTGTCTGAGCCTGGATTCAATCCCCAGTACCTAGGGGCAGCAGGTGGAGGATCACATATATTGGGACTTGATACTGCTCTCTATAACCTAATAGCAGTCTTTCAATGCATCTTGACCACTGAGCCACATCTCTAGCCTTTTATTTTTTGAGACAGGATCTCACTAAATTGCTTAGGGCCTCACTAAATTGTTGAGGCTGGTCTGAAACTTGCAATCATCCTGCCTCAGTCTTACAAGTCTCTAGGAATGTGACACCATATGCAGCTTAGGTTAGAATTTCTAAATGGTATCTTTGAAAAGATGTCATTTCTCACTTTACTCCAGACTAAGTTTGCAGCATACCTTAGGACTAGACAAACTTCCAATGGCTTGGGAGGCTGAGGCAGGACGAACATGAGTTACCAAAATAAATAAATAAAAACAGATGGTGTAGATAAGCTACTTCAAAAGCCCATTAATTATTTGAACCTGGCCCTAGAAATTCACTGATTTTAAACAAGTATATATGCACAAATAAAAAGGTGAAAATAAGTAGATAAATAAATCAGTAACTTCTATAATAGGAAACATATCATTTTATTGGTTACAAAAAGTTACATATTGTTTTTACAATGATGAGGATTGAACCCCCAGCATTAAAATTGCTAAGGAAATACTTAACACTTTATCACTGAGCTATGTTCTATCCATGTATCTGTCTTAATTTTGTGAGAATAAATTTGCCAGAATAACAAGAATAATTTTCAAAGCTAAGTAATAAATGGGGGATTTGCATGTCTAGAAAATTAAATTGTATTATAAAGCCTTCAGGATTAAAAGCATACTTCTCATGCATTAGTAGGCAAGCAGTGTAATGTAATAGATTAGAAAACCAGATACAGCCAGGCGTGGTGGTTTACCCCTATAATCCCAGGGACTAAGGAGGCTAAGGCAGGAGGATAGCAAATTCAAAGTCAGCCTCACCAACTTAGTGAGGTCCTAAGCAATTTAGCCAGACCCTATCTCAAAAACTAAAAAGGGCTGGAGATTTGGCTTAGTGGTAAAGCGCCGCTGGGTTCAATCCCTGGTACCAAAAAAAAGAAAGAAAGAAAGAAAGAAAGAAAATCAGCAATAGACTTAAGGACTTAAGTTCACATTTAAGAACTTGTATGTGGTAACAATAGCATTCAAATTAGTGGAAAAAATAACAGTTAATAAAACATGTTGGGACAAATTTCTCAACATTTGGATAAATATGAAGCAAAATTAATTAAAGACAGATTAAATTATACATGTTAAAATGAAATTGTAAATGTATTCAAAAAATGGTATTATTATTTATGTAACTTTCAGATGGTATCAGAGGCTCTATAGAATAGGCTCTTGAGTCTGGAAGATCTAAGTTCAAGTGCTGACCCCAACATCAACTGGAACGGAACCTTAAGCAAATCACTTACAACTTTTTGTTTATTTTTAAAATTTAAGATAGAGCTGGGTTTGGTGGCACACTCCTATAAATCCCAGCTACTTGGGAGGCTAAAACAGGAGGATCACAAATTTGATGCCAKCCTAGACAATTTATGGAGACCTTGTCTCAAAATAAAAAATAAAAAGGACTTGGGATGTAGCTCAGTGGTATAGCACTTAAGCAATATGGATTCAATCCCACACACACAGAAAAGAATTTCAGAACTTACTCTAACCTACTTTTAATTACTTCTTAACCTTCCTTCATTTGTAGAATAGAGATAATAATACCTCATCATAGCTTGATATTAAGCAAAATAGCATAAAAGACCTTACAATTAAACACAAAGTATCATTATTATGAAATAGGCTCTTTCTAATCAGGGTACCAAAATCACAAACTATTAAGCAACAGAGTGATAAAACTGAACATACAAAATCAAGAATTGTGTAATTCAGTGCCAGAAGTCCTTCACACCTGAGACAAACTGAGTAATTCACTTGAATTAGCAAATATGAGCATCATACTTATTATGAATTAGACATTACTTGAATGAGTCAGAGTTAAGGGAACTTGGAGCTAGGACTTAACAGAGTTGAGTCTTAGTTAACTTCAAGGACAACAAGATACATGAATTAGAATGCCAGTATGAGATGAAAAGGTGTAAATATAGCAACTATATACCTGAAAATGCTAACCCTCTACTTCCAGCGCAGAATAACATGATTACAGAGTATATTTCTCTGAAACTTGATGAATCCAGGTGAACATCAGCATGCTGGGCTAGGACTCCTAAGGCTCTGGAGCCTTAAGAAATTGATTTTTTTTTAATTAAGTACCTTATTTGATTCCAGGAGTCACATTCTAAATGGAAATTACGAAATGAGGTGGATGTATTGACTACTTGCATTTAAAGATCTTTTTCAAAGCTTAAGTCCTATAATTCCAGATCACGACTGAGAATCTGACCCTAGGATCCTGCCGTGACATGTCACAAGTCTAAAACTTCAAGTTCCACCCACATTTCAGGATCTGGGAATGGGCTGTGTCTTCTTAAATCCTGAATTGCAGTGACCCCACAAATATCTCACAATCCCAATGTTTGTCAGTATTTACTACGACTCTAAGAAACGACACTACGTTGGCAACTGTCCCACACAAAGTTCTAACTGTGGGTCCTTACCATGGCCCTCCTTTGCCATTCCGTATGCAAACCAAGGATCACCCTCCTCCCACCCCCACCCTACAATCCCCAACAGATGAAGGAAAGAATTTGACAGAAACTTGACCTCACCTCAATCTCGTAGTCCTTCACTGGAKGGGGAGCAGCTGCAGCCGCCATGGCCAGGACCCCCACCATGCTCCCTGCTTCCCCGAATCCCAGCTCCTAGGACCTTGTGCGGTCCGGCTCAGCCTGCCTGGAGGCCATGGAGCTGGCCGGCTCCGGTAGGAGCGAATCGCTGGGCCGCCGAGTCAGTCTCAGGGTCCCACCGCGCCCACCCGCCCAAAACGGGCGCGGAGACTGGGCCCAGCTCCGTCGAGTCAAACGCGGAAAAAGGCGGTGAGAAAGCGCGGGCAGCGAGGGCCCTGGGACGCGCGGCCGGCAGTGCMGGACGTCTCTGAGGCGGCAGTTCCAGGATGAGCGCCCGGGACTGGAGCCCGGGTGCCTACAGCCAAAAGAACGTAGATCGGGCCGCGGGGCTTCGGCGGGAGTTCTTGTCAATTGGGTTTTCGCGCCGTCCTGAGCGCAGGGGGCGGAGTTTACGGCTGCTTTGGAAGCCTGCGCGGATGGTGAGTCAGGAGGGCCAAAATACGTCTCTTGACAAACCTGCAAAAGACTGAGCCAATTGCTTTGTTTAATTTAAAATCAACCAGGGTTTTGGACATTCAGACTTTTTCTGTTGTATAACACAGTGTCACCATTAAAAACTAATGACTTGACTAAGGTCACCTAGTCAGTTAATGGCAGAATGAAAATTTAGACTTTAAGCTAGCCCTTTTTTAAAAAGTGAAAATGGGAAAAATACGAAAAATTGAATAATTGATTGCATTCCTAAATGTAAATTGATTATAGACTAAAATGCTAATATCTTGGTAGCGTCCTACCTGGAGACTCGTCCATTAGGGGGTCCTAAATTTTTATACCTCTAACTGGACTCTGGAGGCATTTTCTCATGGATTTCATCGTTGGGAGCAGCAAACACAAAATTATTGCCTCATCTGGCATGTTTTCAGTTTCTGTAGGATATCAATAGTTTGCTGGTTTATTGTGATGGTAATCTCATGCATTATCTGCAATATTTTCATGGATTTTTTAGACTTTTTTTTTTACCTAAAAATTGCAATTACATAAATAAACAGTTTATTTAGGTGCATAGTTTCAACAGCATGGTTCTTAAGAACCGGGTTATGTAAACTGTTTTTAACTATTAATTAACCTTTTTTAATCTTTATTTATTTATTTTTATGTGGTGCTGAGGATCAAACCCAAGGCTTAGCACATGCTAGGCAGACGGCACTACCGCTGAGCTACAACCCCAGCCCAATTAAMCTTTTCTTTTATTCTTCCCTCTGGACGTGCAGCTTCATTGAGAGAGCTCCAAGGTAGGACCTCAAGCAAGCTCCTATTTTTACAAATTGTTATTATTAACTCAATTTTTTTTTTTTTTTTTTTTTTGGTGTGTGTGTGCCGGGGATTGAACTCAGGGRTACTCGGCCACTGGGTAACATCCCCAGCCCTATTTTGTATTTTATGTAGAGATAGGGTCTCACTGAGTTCCCTAGCGCCTGGGTAAATTGCTGAGGCTGGTTTTGAACTCGCGATCCTCCTACCTCTGCCTCCTGAGCCACTGAGATTTACAGGCATGCGCCATCGCAGCCGGCTACAGTAAGTTTTGTTATGTTCTTTGACATTTTTAACCAAGAACAGGCATTACTTGAATAAATATAAAAGTTAATAATGCCGGCAATCCCCGGCACCAAAAACAACAACAACAACAACAAAAATCCACTGTACAAAATAACTGATTTCTGATTCATATGTCAGACCTATATCCTAGAGGCAGCTACTTCCATCAATCATTACAAGTGTTTTGTTTGTTTTGGTACCTGAGATTGAACCCAAGTGAGTTTAACCACTGAGTCACATCCCCAACCCTTCTTCTTTTTTTTTTTTTTAGGACTTCACCAAATTGCGGAGGCTGGCTTTGAACTCCTGAGTCCTGAGTCGCTGTGACTACAGACATGCACCATGGCGCCCAGCTTTTTAAATACCATAATATTGTCACCAGCATGGGGTCTGAAGAAGTTCCCAGAAGGGAAAAGGGGACCTCAACGCAACCCTGGTGGGTTCTTATTTATACTACAGAAAGGAGAGGCACAAAAGTTTAAGAAAGTAGTCTGAGGGCTGGGGATGTGGCTCAAGCGGTAGCGCGCTCGCCTGGCATGCGTGCGGGTTCGATCCTCAGCACCACATACAAAACAAAGATGTTGTGTCCGCTGAAAACTATAATATAAATATTAAAAAATTAAAAAAAGAAAGTAGTCTGAAATGGGTGTAATCCCAGGCAGGAGGATCGCAAATTCAAAGCCAGCCTCAGCAAAATTAAAAAATTAAAAATTTAAATAAACAATAAAAGGGCTGAGGATGTTGCTTAGTAGTTAAGCGCCCCTTGGTCCCATCCCTGGTACCAAAAAAGAGTAATTATCTCAGGGGGAGTCCTGGAAGAGGCAGTTTTCAGCTCTGACATTCTGGATTAGCAGCCCCCACACTATGGGCGCTAGGGACTACATTCAACCTGTTGCCTGTTTTTGTATAGATTTTCAAAGAATCATTTTTTACCTTTTTTAAATAGTTGGGGGAGCATGCAAAAATTATTTTGTGATTTGTGAAAATTATGTCAATATTCAAATTTCAGTGTCCTTAAGTTCTTTTTTTTTTTTTTTTTTCTCCAGAGACTGGGTCTCTTTGTGTTTTCCAGGCTGACCTTGAACTCCTGGACTCAAGCGATCCTTCTGCCTTATTGTCCCAGTAACTAGAGCTACAGGCACAGGCCACCCCACTGCGCTGGGCCCATAAGTTTTTATTGCACTTGATCACACCCATTTACTCACTAAGCTGCAACAGAGACGTCATGAACCGACAAGCTCAAAATATTTATTACTTGACCCTTACAGAAAAATACTGCCAACACCCTTCTTAGACTTGCGCCGGGATTGCTGTATTGCTGGTTATCCTTTAGGCCTCTCTTGGTTCCCTTCTTAGATGATGAGCTCCTARGCGGTGGTGTCTGGGTTGCAGTAACCTCCAAGAACGCGGGTCGTGGCTAGGAGTCTCATTGACCAGGCCCGTAAAACAGCGACGACTTAAGGGCCAAGGCTCCGGCGGCGTCTGCTCTGGTCTCAACTGCTGAGCTTGGGAAAGATAATTCCCTTTTCTGTCCCTGGGCTTCCTCCTCTGTGCAATGGAGATAAAGGCTGTAAAGTGATATAAGAGAGAGATAAGGTGTGGAAAGCACCGCACAACGCTCTTAWGAGTCTTGCCGTGCCTCCAAACATTTCCTGAGGAAACACTGAGCAACAGCGTGGCGCGGGCGCATGGCCGTGGCCAGCAAAGTTACAAAGTGGGAGACACTGGGACCCGCRGGCCCTACGCCGGGGGGCGCCGCCGCACGGCTGTCAATCAAAGTCGTCTTGGGGCGTGGACTGGAATGGCAGGGCGGGGCGTGGTGGCGCTTCCGCCAGAGCGAGGCCGCCYCGGGCCTCCAGCCGGCGCGGGGCACACTCTGGAACCCGCTCCCGCAGCCGCCTGCGGCGCGGCCTGATGAGAGGGACCATGGAACTGGAGCCGGAGCTGCTGCTGCAGGAGGCCGGTGAGAACGTGGAGGCCGAGCAGAGCTACTGGCGTGAGCTGGGCCACCGGCTGCAGGGGCTGCGGGAGGCGCAGAGGCAGGTCGGAGGGCCGCACCCTAAGGGGCGCTGTGGGCCCGGGAGGTCGCGGGGTGCCGAGCGGTGGGCTAGGATTCCGGATGGTGGGAGTGTCCGAAAACTCCGGAGAAAGAGGGGGAGAGCTCTGAAGAAGGACAGGGACCTCGTCAGGTCTGAGAATGGGGCGCTGGGAACTGGGGAAGTTTTAGGGGAAGCCAAGTTTGGGGGAATCGTACGAAAGTGTGAGGAGTGTTCCCCAAACTGTGAGGGGCAGCGATGGGAGGGAATAGGATTGGGGAGGTTGGGGAGAGTGAGGGACCAAAGCAAAATCCGAGGGATCCAAAGGGTAGTGATGACTGAACAGAATCGGGAGGTGGGATTATTTGGGAAAACTTGTGTTAGCGATTAATTTTAGAGAGCCTGAGAAAAAACGGGGGCAGTGATGACCTGGTGAGAGCTGAAGAGGGAGGAGACAAAATGGATATTGGAACCGAAGGACTAAAGTGAAAGGGAAGAGGTAGGGATAGAGAAACCGTAATGTTAACACTAAATGAATGGGGTTAGTGTTTGAATGCCTCATATGATCTTGAATTCATTTCGTAGAAATCGGAGTCATCTCTTCTAGGTAGTTTAGAATTTAAGGATAAGGTTAATTGGAAGGGCAGAGGAAGGAAAATGAAGTGCTTGAAGGAGGATATACCAAGGGACAGATTTTAAAGAGAGGAGTACTCAGGGGAGAAGCTAAATATACCTGCAAGTGGTGGAGTTATCTGTTCCAAGGGGAAAAGGTTATCAAAGTTGTAGGAAAGCCACATGGTTTCTCTACACCCTCAAACATACACAGTAAAAAGATATAACCTACTGCTTATGTGTGATTGGACAAGTAGTTCTTTAAGTCTACTAATAACCTAAGGGCTTCATAAATGCATTTTGAATGAGTGGGATTCCATCTGAATTTCTCTAAGTCTCATTTGTTATTTATTAATAGATATTGTCAAGCTAGTCAGTCCTACCTGACAAAGAATCTGAAAATGTTAGAAGAGTGTTGTCATAGTGTCTTTGGATCTTGTCATCACTAAGAATACTCAGCATACCTTGGGCTTTATGTATTTTAAAGTCCTTGTAGAGCTGATGTGGGCCAGACGTCATTTTCATTTTAGTAGCAAAACTGAGACTAGAATCTAGGTATGATTATCCTGATTTGGTGAACACTTTTGCATGGCATTCGAATACAATTCTCTGGATTTTCTTTTGAAAACATCTGCATTATTCCTTCTGCTATTTTGATGTAAAGGTTCTAATTCAAGGACATTGTTTAAAAAGATACAAAAATACCTCTTACTATACAACTAATGTGTCAGTCAGTTAGAATATGTCTGAGCATAACAATTGTTTTAACAATATCGGTAATTAACTATCAGTAGACATAAAAGGAGTGAGCACCTGGGAGTGGTACTTATTAACTTCTCATGTGATATTGAATGCATTAAAAAAAATTAGTGTGACTCTGTCCTTCATAGTTTAGTATTCAATTTCCAAACCAATATTCTTTTAAATTTTATATCCAATAATTTAAATAGAGGACATACTTTCCTATAATTTAGTGTTATTTAGTATGGTTTTCCTTTTTGTTCTGTTTTGTTTTGAAAGCCATTGTCTTGGGCCTGAGACAGAAAAAAACTAAAGGAGCATCCATCACAGACTTCTGATGACATTGCCTTCTGACAAGGAGGCTAAGTGTGGTTCTCTTTTGTCAACTGGAATGTGTTTTGTGCCAGTGCCAGTTACAAAGGCTAATTCTATTCGATTGTGTGTTTGGGTTTGTAGAATAAGTCCACTGTTAACTTGTGTTTTAAGGAAGGTCTGTGTTACAAAAATATTATYAAAATAAGCAGTTGGTTTTGTTTGGTGGTTAGGCTATTTTTAGAGTCCCAGTCATTTTCAGAGTAACTACATAAAATATATGGCTTTTTAGCCAAAGAGTTTGCATGGGGAAGAATGAGAAGATCAGAAAGGAAGGGATGTATTTAGTTTTTTGCTTGCTGATTTTATTTACTTTTGGCAAATGATGTTGGGTGCGGGGGGGGGGGGGGGGGGGGGGGGGGGGGGGGGGGGGTGATACCAGGATTCAAACCCAGATTCTTGTGCAAGCTAGGCAAGCACTTTACACTGATAT